TGTGTGTGTGTGAGAGAGAGAGAGAGTGTGTGTGTGTGAGAGAGAGAGAGAGTGTGTGTGTGTGAGAGAGAGAGAGAGTGTGTGTGTGTGAGAGAGAGAGAGAGTGTGTGTGTGTGAGAGAGAGAGAGAGTGTGTGTGTGTGAGAGAGAGAGAGAGTGTGTGTGTGTGAGAGAGAGAGAGAGTGTGTGTGTGTGAGAGAGAGAGAGAGTGTGTGTGTGTGAGAGAGAGAGAGAGTGTGTGTGTGTGAGAGAGAGAGAGAGTGTGTGTGTGTGAGAGAGAGAGAGAGTGTGTGTGTGTGAGAGAGAGAGAGAGTGTGTGTGTGTGAGAGAGAGAGAGAGTGTGTGTGTGTGAGAGAGAGAGAGAGTGTGTGTGTGTGAGAGAGAGAGAGAGTGTGTGTGTGTGAGAGAGAGAGAGAGTGTGTGTGTGTGAGAGAGAGAGAGAGTGTGTGTGTGTGAGAGAGAGAGAGAGTGTGTGTGTGTGAGAGAGAGAGAGAGTGTGTGTGTGTGAGAGAGAGAGAGAGTGTGTGTGTGTGAGAGAGAGAGAGAGTGTGTGTGTGTGAGAGAGAGAGAGAGTGTGTGTGTGTGAGAGAGAGAGAGAGTGTGTGTGTGTGAGAGAGAGAGAGAGTGTGTGTGTGTGAGAGAGAGAGAGAGTGTGTGTGTGTGAGAGAGAGAGAGAGTGTGTGTGTGTGAGAGAGAGAGAGAGTGTGTGTGTGTGAGAGAGAGAGAGAGTGTGTGTGTGTGAGAGAGAGAGAGAGTGTGTGTGTGTGAGAGAGAGAGAGAGTGTGTGTGTGTGAGAGAGAGAGAGAGTGTGTGTGTGTGAGAGAGAGAGAGAGTGTGTGTGTGTGAGAGAGAGAGAGAGTGTGTGTGTGTGAGAGAGAGAGAGAGTGTGTGTGTGTGAGAGAGAGAGAGAGTGTGTGTGTGTGAGAGAGAGAGAGAGTGTGTGTGTGTGAGAGAGAGAGAGAGTGTGTGTGTGTGAGAGAGAGAGAGAGTGTGTGTGTGTGAGAGAGAGAGAGAGTGTGTGTGTGTGAGAGAGAGAGAGAGTGTGTGTGTGTGAGAGAGAGAGAGAGTGTGTGTGTGTGAGAGAGAGAGAGAGTGTGTGTGTGTGAGAGAGAGAGAGAGTGTGTGTGTGTGAGAGAGAGAGAGAGTGTGTGTGTGTGAGAGAGAGAGAGAGTGTGTGTGTGTGAGAGAGAGAGAGAGTGTGTGTGTGTGAGAGAGAGAGAGAGTGTGTGTGTGTGAGAGAGAGAGAGAGTGTGTGTGTGTGAGAGAGAGAGAGAGTGTGTGTGTGTGAGAGAGAGAGAGAGTGTGTGTGTGTGAGAGAGAGAGAGAGTGTGTGTGTGTGAGAGAGAGAGAGAGTGTGTGTGTGTGAGAGAGAGAGAGAGTGTGTGTGTGTGAGAGAGAGAGAGAGTGTGTGTGTGTGAGAGAGAGAGAGAGTGTGTGTGTGTGAGAGAGAGAGAGAGTGTGTGTGTGTGAGAGAGAGAGAGAGTGTGTGTGTGTGAGAGAGAGAGAGAGTGTGTGTGTGTGAGAGAGAGAGAGAGTGTGTGTGTGTGAGAGAGAGAGAGAGTGTGTGTGTGTGTGAGTGAGTGAGTGAGTGTGTGTGTGTGTGTGTGTGTGACACACAGACCCGGTTCAGGTTTTGCTCAGGTTTTGTGAATCAGTGGATTCTGCAGTGAAGCACCTCCTCCTCCTCCTCTTCCTCTTCCTCTTCTCTGAAGCTCATGAGGAGAATCCTAGCGCTCGCGTCACTCGCGTCAGTGGGCGTGGCGTCGCTCCGCTTCATTCATAAACTCCGGCTGCCGTTCGGATGAGATGTAACGCGCTGCTGGAGCGTCGTGCCATTGGCGAGCGCTGATAACGCGTCCCTCGTTCGGACAGCATGAATTACACATAGGTGAGTGATGCTGTTTATCGACGCGCGTCCTGTCTGCCTGCGTTTAACGCGTTGGAAATGCAAATTGTTGTAGATGCAGCGAGTGTGGAGCGCGGCGGCGCGTTCTGCGTGCGTCTGCTGTTCTTTGGGTTGCTGATGTGTCCGCGCGGTGATGGAAATCTGCCGCGGCGCGTCGCGTCGCGTCGAGCTCGAGTTATGACGTCAAGCCTCTGAATCATAACATGAATAATGGCGTCAGCAAAAGACGGTTGTGTGAGTTTTAATATGATTTATGTAACGCGCGACATACATTCACATGTAAAGAGCGCGTGAAACAAGCGTCACTGACTCTCTCTCTCTTCAGATGCGAGCTCATACTGATCAGTTATTCTGATAGGCTTTCATTATTCTAATTAACTGGCTAGTGGCGCATTCTGAGTTTATTAAGCTCCAGCAAATATATGTGTGTGTGTGTGTGTGTGTGTGAGTGAGTGAGTGTGTGTGTGTGTGTGTGTGTGTGTGTGTGTGTGTGTGAGTGTGTGAGTGTGTGTGTGTGTGTGAGTGAGAGAGTGTGTGTGTGTGTGTGTGTGTGTGAGTGAGTGTGTGAGTGAGTGAGTGAGTGTGTGTGTGTGTGTGTGTGTGACACACAGACCCGGTTCAGGTTTTGCTCAGGTTTTGTGAATCAGTGGATTCTGCAGTGAAGCACCTCCTCCTCCTCCTCCTCCTCCTCTTCCTCTTCTCTGACGCTCATGAGGAGAATCCTAGCGCTCGCGTCACTCGCGTCAGTGGGCGTGGCGTCGCTCCGCTTCATTCATAAACTCCGGCTGCCATTCGGATGAGATGTAACGCGCTGCTGGAGCGTCGTGCCATTGGCGAGCGCTGATAACGCGTCCCTCGCTCGGACAGCATGAATTACACATAGGTGAGTGACGCTGTCCTGATGTTTGGCGACGCTCTGCGTTCAACGCGTTTTGTTGGAAACGCGGCGCGTTCTGCATGCGTATGGCGTTCATCAATAAACAAACAAACGCGTCTTTAGGTTGCGATGTGACGCGTCGCTAATGCATCTGTGTCCGCGATGATGGAAACCTGCGACTCGTGATCGTCGCGTCGCGTCGCGTCCGGAGCGTGGTGGCGCGTCGCGTCGAGTTATTATGTCAAGCCTCTGGATCAAAAGATGAATAATGACGTCAGCAGCAGCGCGGGGTTAGCGTCGCGTCGCGTCGCGTCGCGTCGCTGTGAGAGTTTCATTCAGCATCACTGCATGACAGGATTCACATATGAAGATCTCCTGAATCCAGCTGACACTAGTCTCTGCACACTTCATGCGAGAGAGCATTCTTTCTGAAAGACTTGACTTATTCTAATTCACTTAAATTCACTTAAATTATCATATGTGTATTTTAAGAAGTTGTATTTAATGAGCAATGTGTGTATGTGTGTATATACAGTATATAGACTTGTGACACATACATAGACCAATATTTGCACATTTCGAGGTTATTAAAAATATGATAAAAAAAAAAAAAATATAACTCGTGATCGTCGCGTCGCGTCGCGTCCGGAGCGTGGTGGCGCGTCGCGTCGAGTTATTATGTCAAGCCTCTGGATCAAAAGATGAATAATGACGTCAGCAGCAGCGCGGGGTTAGCGTCGCGTCGCGTCGCGTCGCGTCGCTGTGAGAGTTTCATTCAGCATCACTGCATGACAGGATTCACATGTGAAGATCTCCTGAATCCAGCTGACACTAGTCTCTGCACACTTCATGCGAGAGATTTCATTCTGAAAGACTTGACTTATTCTAATTCACTTTAAATTCACTTAAATTATCATATGTGTATTTTAAGAAGTTGTATTTAATGAGCAATGTGTGTATGTGTGTATATACAGTATATAGACTTGTGACACATACATAGACCAATATTTGCACATTTTGAGGTTATTAAAAATATGATAAAAAAAATATATATATATAAATATATAATGTAAAAATGAGCTCATAAAATATAAAATACAGAGCAGGTTTTCTGTTTTGTGAGTACTTAATGTGCAAAATATATATACATACTATTGATTGACTGGCCAATATTTGCATATTTTCAGATTATTATTATATTATATATTAAACCCTAATTTTAATATATTGGATTATATATAATATATTGTTTAATGTTAAATACTGTGCATATATATATATACACACACAGTCAAACCAAAAACTATTCAGACAGCAGATATAATTGATGTTTATTTACTAGTGTGTGCAGGACACTGTAGTTCATTTATGTAAGTGAGGAGAGCAAAATAAAGTAAACGGTGACATATTACACCCAATAATTCTTCATACAGTGGACTACCGGATCAACAATGATTCAGACACTTTGAGCTGAGCATGTGTTTCTGAAGTGTTTTTCTTTAATTGCTAACGTGATCTTTTACACCACAGAATGAAGCACTGCGTGGTGATTAGTTGAGCTAAATTGGTTTTATCTAATTGTGTTCTTAAAGTTAACAGCTGACAGATATTCATCCGAATTCATTACATACCTTTCTATCAAAGTTATCTGACATTATCAAGATGATAACTCTGAGCTCTTCTCATATTTTATTACCATTTTCTCAACTATAGCGAATAAACCGATAATGTGAGAGATGTTGAAGGTGTCTGAATAAGTTTTGGTTTGACTGTACCTATATTATATAAAGTTGTAAATGTAAAAATGTAAGAATAGAGATGTTCTGTTGTGCTTGAAGGCGTCCTGCTCTGATTTGCTGTATTCTGTGTAGCTGCAGCGCTTGTAGATTCTGCTGTCCTACTTTCTGTAGTTATCAGCACCACAGCATCCTCCATCAATCCCATAATGCCCCAGATGACATCAGCAGGCATCTCTGGCTCTCCTGTGTGTGTGTGTTAGAACAAACACAGACTAGGGCTTAAATACATGAGATGACGAGGACAAGAAACAAGACACACCTGAACCAAATGACACAATCAACGGGAGATGTGTGTGAGTGTGTGTGTGTGTGTGTGTGTGTGTGAGTGAGTGTGCGGGATTTAGGTATGGG